AATTATCAAGTTATGTTATTATACCACTTTTTATATCTAGTAGATTATAACCCATATAAATAGTCATCATACAAAAAATATAGTTTTGCATTGATGTTAAGACCATTAAATTAAATTAAAAGTAATACAAAATATATATTTAATATGAAGAATACACATATTTCAAAAATATATTAAAAATAAATGAAATTAGTGTCCATTAAACTCATATTAATCTTATTTATTTTAATTTTTTAATTAGCATTTGTTTAGTTAACATTAACTTATAAATAAATAAAATATTATAACTAAATAAGATTAACATCTAATAGTGAATCCTAGTCGTATTTATTTTAGTTTTATTTTTATAATTAATGTTGGTTTAATCAAAACTTAAATACATATAAATATAAAAAATAAATAGAATTAGCTTTTCCTAAACTCACCTAACTTATTTGGAGCGGCATAGCTTCTTGGGAGCATAGGAAACTTTGGCTGCCCCAGCTTTTTTTAATATAAATAAAAGATAATATATAAATAAAAATATTAGTTTTAACATATTTGTCTACTTTAAATTTGTATATACTTATAAATAAAATTTTGATATCTTCAAAAGAAATACTTTTGAAGAGTTTTCACTATTTATTTATTTTTAATATTTATTTTAATTAGCATTTAATAAGATATTAATACAAATATTTATTTAATACAAATATTTATTTAATAAATATCTTAATTTTGTTTTTAAAAAATAATTTTTATGTCATGTTAGAATCTGCTCACATTAATAAGATCGTAATTTAATCTATACTAATATTTAAAGCTAAATTTATGTTTTTTACAGTGAAAATTATGATTAAATTTTAATTTATGTTAATAAAAAAGCATCACCTAAATCACAATTTTATTTTTAATGTGATATTTAAATTAGAGTTAAGTATATTTTTAGTTTTTAACTTACATGATTTATTTTTGTTTTATACTTTAATGTATTTTGGTTTCTAAATTTTGAAAATAAATATATATATAAGTATTTAATTTAATAATAGTATTATTTTATACTTATTAAATAATATTTTAAACTGATATTTGAATTAAAATGTATTAAAATTAAGAAAATTATATTCATTAATTTTTAAAATTTAAACAATTAAAATGAATAAAAATTTGAAACAAAAATAAATTATAATTTTACATAAACTTAAAAACATATTTACCTCTATAAAGTTATCTTAGTTTCCATAAATAAACGAAACTACATGGCAAACACCTGCTCAAGGTATGATTTCACCCATCATTTACCAAATCTTTTTTTGTGATATTTAAATTTCAATATCAAACAAAAATTTAACAGTAAACCTTTTGATAGAGATGATGGCACTAAACCTGTCCGTAAATCATGAAATCATTAATGGAAGCAGAATAGTAAAAAAATTGTATTAGAAAGTGATATATAATAGTAATACTCTTGCTATGATTTCCTTTGCTTTATTAGAGTGATTTTAATAAAATTTAATTACATTATTTACTAATACTTTTAGGGCACTGCTATTAAATATAAATTTTACACTATTCAAGCAATTAGTTGAAGTAAAGTCAACAACTATAGTGGAGGAAGGAGACATTATGTCCATTAACAAATTGCATTCCAATTCAGACCAGTCAAAAAGAAACACTAAAGACAGAAGGGAAATATTTATAATAAAATCGGAAAAGAAATAAATCACATGAACTTAATATATTTTAATAAGAACGAATGTAGACAGGATACTATAGTATCGAACTTATGTATATAATAACTTTTTTATGTAAATAACTATTTTATATAATTTTAATTTTAATTTTAAATATTATATCAAATAATTGTATTTTTAATATTTTATAATTGTGACCTGTATTTGAATTAGTTATTTTTACTGTAAATATTGTATTTAAGCGATTTAATAGTAACATTTTAATTAATTTGATTTCTAAATTAAAAAGAAAAATATTACAGTATAATGATGATAGTATAAATAATTTTTTGGAACTTTCTGTGGTTATGTGTTAGGCAATTTCCCCAGCTTTCATAAATTATAAGGTTTTTTTATATATATTATTATTTTGTATGCATTGATTCAATCTATCAAATAAACTGTTTTAAGTTATATTTTACATATAGATTTGTTATATCTAAGTAGTAAAATTGTTTTTCGAACTATATTTGTTCTGTTCTTGTTATTGTTAGTGCCGTTAAAATGAATTGAAACCCGTGAGTTAATCTGGTTCATCACGGATTTGAGCCGGATTGGATTGAAAAAAAATGTGAAAATTTTGATCGAGTCAATTTTGACCCGGCTCGCTAAGAACCCGACTCACCCGAATTGAACCCGTGGTGAGCCGGGTTGGCTCAGTAGCTCACATATTTTTTTTTAATGAAATCAAATGAATTAAATTAATTATTCAAATCCTATTTTTTTTATTGAAATCAAATTAATTAAATTAATTATTCAAAACGCATAACGTTTAGGTCAGATGGTTGTGTATGTCTCATTAAACTAAATTAGCAAAATTTTATGCTTGATATCTTAGAATATATAACAATATAGTTCTTTTGTTCATGTTATAATAATATAAGAAGAAGAGGGTGAAAAAGAGTTAAATGAGCCAACACGTTTAACCTACCAACCTGTGGTGGGTCAGATCGGATTCAAATTTTTTCGGCTTGCTAATAAATGAGTCGGGTTGGATTGATTCACTGAGTGATCAATATGTAGTAGGTCGGGTTGAGTCGGGCCAGATTACCCGTTTTGACAACTCTACTTCTTGTTCTTGATATTTGATGTATTGTTCATTTGTAATTCAAATATTTAAATTATTGTTAATCTGGACTCGAATGAGAAATTAATAGAAAAAAAAATTCAAAGAGAACGAGAGTTTTTATATAGAATCTCTTTTCACTTTTACAAAATCTTATATACTAACAGATTTTGTAAAATTGATTTCCAAGAAACTACTCACAGTTAAATCAATTCAAAATCAATAGTGAACCCAAATACATAGTCTAACTTACAGAAATATTTTATCATAATTAAATTAATTTGACAGTATAAAATATATATATATATATATATATATATATATATATATATATATATATAGTCAAACTTACATTATTATTTTATTATAAATACTAAATAGGCACTAAAAGTTATAATTATTTAGAAAGGGGTGGTGTAAAAGTAGTGAGTGATTAGGTATGGTTTTATGAGAGTGACAGCACTAAACAGATGGAGCCAGAAATAGTTAATGTAAACATTTGCAGTGTAAGGTGAAAACCAAAAATCTCAGTTAACATCAATTGATGTTATCAGCATTTGTCCAACACTTCAATAACCACTCTTTTTATCATCTTTAAATACATAAAATTAATGTTTCCCACTAATTCCACTTAGACTCACTGCTACGCGTTAAAATGGGTTTAAACTTATCAATTAACTTGTCTCATCACCAGATTGATCTGGATTGGACTGTAAAATATTCTTTTCTAAATGTAGGTCAAAATGAGTTTAACTTATATAATATGTAAGTTAATTAACTTCGAGTGAACTTTAGATGAGTTGATCAGTAATTTATTTATGATCATCAATCTTTTATTACTTTTTTATAATTATTTATTATTTTTAATTATATATGTTAATAATTTAATTTTTTTAATTAGAATTTTATTTAATAATATTTAAATTATTTAAATATTTAATTAATTCATTTATCTAATTATATAAGTTAATATTTTAATTTTTACTTACTAATTTTGTAATAATATTTGTTGAAATAAGTAATCATTACGAATACACAGTTGAATAATCTACTTTATTTATATTATTATAAATATATAAAATTTGAGAGAATAAAATATATTTCAAGTAAGTTTATTTCTCTAACTTATGAATTTATAGTGGGTCATCAGGTTCACAAAAAAAAATATTAAATTCATTTATTTTATAAATTTGATTCATTTTAACACTTTTTGTCACTGGTTTTTAATAAATTATTATGGATAAACAAATTATTATGGATAAAGAAACATTAATACAGATTTTTTAATACTATATATATATATATATATATATATATATATATATATATATATATATATATATATATATATCATTTTGATTGAGTTTAGAATATATCAATATAATAATGAATAAGTAATAAATCTGTAAAAAAACAAACGAATTCTATGTCAAAAGATTTAAATAAAAAAAGTATGTCAACATATTTTTTTCTCAATTATTATTCATATATGTTCATGTTTTTCTCAATTATTATTTATATGTTCATATTTCGTGTCTTCCTGGTTCCCATAAATGATAGGAAGAAAATATAAAACGATAGGTGAAGCAAATGCAATTCTAACTAAATCAGAACACGTAATTATGTATCACTTTATTCCTAACTCCTTCCTCTGTTAACAGTTTTAATTATCATAAATCATGCTTAACAAGTGCCACCAAAGATAGTCAGATGTAGTTAAGGCTTTTTCCTCACGCAGTCCCTTAATTTTCAAAACAACTATTTAAATCCCCCAAAATTTCTTTGTAAAAGTGAATTTTTGAATTACTTATTATAACAATATTCTAAAACAAATTTTTCAAAATTTTCGGGACATAATTTCTAGAATAAAGTTCTCAACAGGAATTTCAAAATAAATTTTTTCAAACAAATTTCAAAATAAATTTTCTAAAGCTCAAAACACATGCTTTTCAGAACTACAAAATAAAGTTTTTCTAAAGTCCAGTTCGTATTTATCAATGTAAAAGGAGAAATGGATAACTCAACGAGTTTCCTTAAAAACAACACCACCTAGAGAATGAATTTTCAGCGTTTTTCTTTTTATGAAAAGAACTGCTTCCTATAATACTCAAGCGTAAACAAAGTGAATCCAAAATGAAAGCCAGAGAATTGGAGATCTTGGAGTGTTACCGTTCAGATAATTTGTGGTCACCAGGTGCCACAATAAAATTAAAAGAATGACATAAGAAAAAGACAAGACATAATTCTTCATGATAAGAAAAGGAAATAACGTAACAACTGAATATCCAAGGTCGTGCCTGAACATAATTCTGTTTGAAAATCAGAATAAGCACTAATTCCACAGCCAAAAAAAAAAAGTATAAAAAAGAAATTTGTTAGGCTAGCATATAAAGTAAAAATTAAACGAGAGTTTGGTGTCTGGTCCACAACTATGGTCTATCTCTCAAGAAGCATAACCAACTCACAGTGTGGAGTATGGGGAAAAAGATCAACAGCCATAGCCTTTACGGGATGGAAGGCCTCTGAGATGGGCATAGACTTGGCCCTGTGCCGTGCTAGACCAGCACTGCTCATGTTTCTCCATCCTCTGTTGTCTTTATTACCTTTCTCAATTTTTGCGGGAGATGGCGTACAAAGCTCAATAGCATTTGCCACCAGACTTTCAGGATTGCAGGATATGTAACTGCATTTAACCGTGCAAAATTAGATAGAGTGCATAGAAAATAAAAATTAAAGAGTTATAATAGTTCTGAACAACTAACACAAGTCTCCGCAAGCGTGGATGAGTTCTCAAAGCTTTAATTACCTGTGATTTCATAATTCATAAATCAGAAATTTAAATTTGAGAGAAAAAATTTAAAAAAACTAACTAAAATTCAACAGCAAGAAGAACAACAGTTATTCTACTGTATTCTGCAATCACATGGAATAAGAAAAATATTGCAATAAAAAGCCATGTTTGCCCAGTGGCATGCAAAGAAAATTCCTATATAGTGATCATCAACAGAACTGTGGAACAGGACCACAAAACCAGATAGTGAATGACGGGTGGAATCACAATAATACATGGTCAAGTGTAAAGCAATTGTTAACCTGATTTATTTATTTATTGGTCCTGGAGAGGAAGGTCTTTTAGCACCAAATCGGTGGAATGGGAATGTGTATGACGCGGACATTCACATAACCCTAATTTCAGCTGTGCTCAAATTGAACTTTATGTGGATAAATTTATTTATGAACACTTAAAAAAAGTAAGAAAAATAAAATTTTAGTTTCTCTAATAACTAATCTTAACTTATGCATAAACTAATTTTGTTTATGAAATAAGTTAATTTACTTTTTGTTTTTTATTTTCTTCTACAAATTCTTATGGAGAAACCTATTTAAACGGGACCTGATCTTGGAATCTTCTATCACTCCAACACCATAGAAAGTACTTCAATCAAAGACAAATGACATTTTCTCAACATACTTTTTCAAAATGGCATATATAGCTAAACAAGAGAACAAAACGAAAATTTCCAGGGAATTAATGCCATGTTTTGGACTCTAAATCATATTAGTTACAGTTGGAATCACTTGCATAAAGGACATGGTTCTCAGTTCTTACAGTTGGATGAAGTCCAGCACGTGGAGGATCAACAATGGCAACGACATTTTTGAACTGTTGCATGGAAGTGTTCCCATTTTCAGAAGAATTACCCTTCCGAATTTCACTTCCAACTTCTGCATTGTTATTTTCTGAACGAGGCGTCATATCACTGGTTTCAGGCCTTGAGCAGGTACTATCCCCAGGAATGTCATTGCCACCTCCACAGACATTTGGATCGTCACTTTGTTCCTTAGGCACATTTCCATCATCCCTTAACTGAGATCCTGTCACGTTCTCTGTCTGTTCAGATATCCCGTCAACTTGTTCAGAAGTGCCACCGTTCTGAACTTCACTTCCAACTTCTGCATTGTTATTTTCTGGACAATCACATGTCATTTCTCCCTTTTCAGCCTCTGGGCAGGCACTATCCTCAGGAATGTCATTGCCATTTTTAGGGGTATTAGAATCATCCTGCTTCTTAGTCATATTGAGGTATTCCCTTAACAGAGATCCCATCACGTCCTCTGCCTGTTACCTCACATAAGAGAATTAAAAAATGTAATGTTACAAGTCAACAATTAAATTGAAAGAAAAATATTTCCACGACATCAACTAAAATTCCGGTAATCCAGTTTCTGGTCAGGAGCCATTAAATAATTCAACCAGAATATAAAATTACGTTACCTTAGAACATATAAATCTAATGTTTTTTATGCCATTAATCTCAGCGTTCCTATGGGCATCAGACACTGCAGAAGCATTCATTTCAATTCCAATCACCTGAAGAAAACAAAACAAACATGGCTGAACCAACTTCTTAAAACTCGGGAATTTCAAAAAAGAAACACTTCATTCATAGAGGAAATAAAGAACAGTCTGAAAAGTCCATTGAACCTCTGCAAAAGTAATCATGACACCATATATTATTATTTCCCAAACGGACACATTAAAGAGTCAACAGCCAAGATACAAGAATTGAAAACCAGAAAAAGAAGGAACATAAATGATGATTATTACCATACCAACTCGATGTGCTAATGTCAGGCCAATTGTTCCTGTCCCACAGCATACATCGAATAGTAGTGTATCAGGACCTAAGCATGCCCAATCTCCAGCAAGTGAGTACAACTTCTCAGCAGCAAGAGTGTTAACCTACAGCAGAAGTAGATTCAAAATTCAAATATAAAAGGGGAAAGAATGCCCTTAGAAATAGATCAAAAAATGATTGTGAACCTGGAAAAATGCGGTTGGAGATATAGAGAACCGGAGATTGTTGATATAATCATGGATTCTTACATCCATGGCATTATTGTTTTCATTGATCTCAGGATCCCCACCTGCTTTAGGAAGTGGTAGCAAATGCAGTGGTGCATCAGCAGGTGCCACATTGGATATTCCTTGGTGATCCTAAATGTAAAATCAACTACCATATTAAAAATTGTTTTTAGAAAATTAAATGAAATCATATTACTCTATTAAATTTGATAGTTTGTTATGTTAAGCAAAATGAAGTTTTTTTTATACACGTGGCAATGTTACAGATACTTTTAAGGAACCTAACCTACTGATGCTGGGAGAGGGAGATGGATAATAACATAGCTAGTAGCTAGCAAACAATGGAACAGAAACATCATTATCCTTCCAATCTACATTTACCAAGATATGCTCAAGTATAAGGGCTACTGATACCTGAACAAACAGAGCCGTGAGGGGTAATGTTGGACAATGCGAAGTAGCTCCAGCAACAAATGCGTGAGCAAGCCTCTTAAATTCAGAAGCTACTAATGCATCATCAAAGTTTGCAGTAGAAACCTATAATCAAGACCAAAGGCAAGGAGTTATAAACATCATTTAAAAACAAAGGAGTTATACATACAAATCATATGCTTCAAGTAATCAGCAACCTTGTCTCCCTGTATAAATCATAACAGTTTACAATGTTTGTATGATAATACCAGTACAGATTAATTTGGCTTGTCAGTCAATTCAATCTAAGTGCTCACAGATTACAGACAAAAAAACCATAAAATCCTTCACCTACCCCAAAGTATGTTACCAACACCATTTTTTATGCTGTACATGTACTAAGAAAGTCTGGCTTGTCAGTCAATTCAATATAAGCTGTACGTTTACCATGAAAATTAAAAGAAAAATACCTGCACAATAAGCATGACCTCTGCAATGCCACCAAAAGTTTCAGCATGATCAGTATTCCCATTTGTTCTGCCTTCTCGGACCTACAAAAGAAATATGAGATAAGAATTGCTTCAAAAAGGGTCAGTCGTATATAATAAAATGAATATAATCAGGTCACACTGAAATGCGACCCTAAATTTTCAACACCAAGTCCAGCAAAATTACCGTCAATTGACGCCAAAATCCAGTATTTTTAAATCTGTTCCAAACTGGTAAATCACTATGCTGCAGAAATTCCTGAAACATTGTAGCATATTTGCAAGCAATTGTTGAAACATTTGGGCACTCGGTTGCTTCCTCGACCGCTGTTACACCTTCCCTGCAATAATGTTTTTAGTATACAACTAAAACTTACAAGCAATGCATTCTACAAACAGAGAAGATGCAGACTACCTGAAGTTTCCCAGCATGAAACCTACAGTCACATTGCCTTCCAGAGAATATCCAACAGAGAATTCACACTTGTTCCGGTATCCATTTACAATTGGAGATGCAATAATACCTTCTAGTTTGCACGGAAGACCACCTGCAGAAGTGTGAGAAAGAAGTGGTAAAAGTACTTCATATGCCATTAAAAATCTTATATGTTTCCAGGTAAAACAGCTCTCCAGATCTCGATAAGAGAACATACGGGGGTGCACTAAATCATGAAGACAACTGTATAAGTTATTTCCAAGACAACATCCAGTGCTAAAACTAAGAACTACAAATAAAATCATTCTTGGAGATTTGAAAGAGTTTGCAGATATAAAACAACACACTACCTATTTCCCTCGACTTGAGAATCCACTCAGGAAGAGAAACCCCATTTGGACAAGCTTTGCGAGCATTTCTGGTCTGCCAGGGAAAAATAAATCAATTTTCTTTATTTAACTAAGGAACGTGTAAATAGACGAAACTACAAAGGTAAATTGGAAACAATCATGACTAACAAGCTTTTTGAGAATCTGCATGAGAGAGGCTTTTTTCTGCTCCAACTGATCATCGTAGGTGATGTGAGCCAGGGGAGTCACTACATCACGCAAATTTCTTGTCTTAGACAAAGAACCATCAACAGACAACTTGTCGTTGTTTGTTTCAGCATCCAAAGCTCCACTCGAAGGATCGTCTCCTTCATCCAATTCTTGATTGGAAGCAACACTGGAGTTACTTTTCTTTTGAAATGACCGAGGAATGACATCAGCAACCTTTACCGTTTTGTTGCCAATTGTTTTTCCTTCTAAATCCTATTAAATTGGAAATTATAAACCATCAATTGCCAATTTCCAGTGAAAACACAAAATAAATGGATCATTAGTCATTAGGAAACACCTTTGATGAACTCTTCAATTGTTCTTCATCTTCAAAGGTAACAAAACCAATCATCATACCTTTCTTTTTCTTAGCATGCTTAAAAGCTATACCCTGCAAAAAAAGGAGAAAAAAATAAGTATTAAATTGAAAATGTCAACTCAAGTGAATTGAATGTCAACTTAAGTGAACTGGAAATCAAAAACTCCAAAACAAAACCAAATAACCAAACAAGCTTGCCTGTTCGCTGAGAAAATTCCTCAAATCCTCGGAACTCCACTTACGCGGCAAATGCACCAAGCATTTGCTAAGCGCGTGATTGGAATCGTAATCGTCGCCGTCGACAACAGCCTCCGTCATCATCACGTCCTCCGAGACGGAGCACTTTTCGCCCGTCTCTGTCTTTAATGCCTTCTTCGCGCGCTCGGAGGTCGGGTCCCATGTGTTATCGGGGCGAGGGCGGAGTTCCTCCTCGCCGTGCGCATAGCGGCACGTGTCGCCGTGGTTGCATGAGTTGTTGTGGCTCCTGTAGTAGGAGCAGAGGCTGGTCTTCCACATGGGATGAAGCGATCGCTCCTCGCCGTCGTCGTCTTCCCTACTCCGTTTCCTCGTCGAAACGACGCCGTCGTTTTCGTGATTGAGTTGAGCGTCGTGTGGAAGCATTTGATTCGGTTCCAAAGTAGAATCATGACCGTTAGTTGAGTCTAGGGTTTTCGAGGGAGAGAGTTGGGTGTTGGCGACAGGTTCCGCCATTGCCCACTAACACACTACACTGTCTTCGCTGCGATAACTGCTTGTCTCCGATAGCAACTACCTGCGTTTTCGTAACGAGTATCTATTGAGCCGGTTTGTAGATTGGCCCAAATCCTCTGGCCCATCAACTTTCAACCGCAATCAGGATCTAGTAAATTTGAGTAATCATATTACACTACTGTGTCCGTTCGAGAAACGGTAAGTTTCAAAACAATTTAAAACGCGAAGTCCCATCATACATGCCAAATTAACAAAAGTGTAATTGTGAAAGCAAAATGTAAGAAGATAAATTACTAAGGATGAAATAAAAAAGAACTTCAACAAAAAAAAGGGGAAGGAGATAGAATTTGCATAAGAAATTTAAAAAAAAAATTATCAACAACACAATATCATTCTTACTTTTTGTGATTTTTGTTGTAATTTTATAATTCAAACATGACAATTGTTTCTGTTATATAGTTGTATGTTGGTTAGATCTGTGTAAGAGTTCTTTATCTCTTGTTGCTACCAAATCAATAATCTAGAAGCATTTTACTGTATATAAGTTGTGTGCATACCTTTTTGTGATTATCTCTCTGCATGTGGTATCAACAACAATGTTAAGGTTATGGAAAAATTTATGTAGTGTGTATCTACCAATAATGAAAGTGAAATTTTTTTCACAAACCTATAAATTATTTATGGAAAGAATTATAATCACCAAGGATGTAGATCATTCTTGGCTACCAAAAATTGTTGGAGATTGTGATGAAGAATGTCCATGAAAAGGGTGAAGTTGTGTAAATAGGAAGAAAGATTGCAATACTCGTTATCTCTTGCATCAATTGGACATAGTGAATTTTGAGAAAATTTCAAAAACAAAAACAAGGGAAGTGTGGAAGAGAAGCAAAGAAAATCAAGAAGGTGAAATTACAATCCTTAAGGAGGCAATATGAGCTACTGTTTATACTCGAATCAGAGAATATGACAAATTATTCTAACTAGTTGTAGCTATTGGTTAATTCAATAAGAGCATATGGAGAATTTGTAACAAACCAAAGTATGGTTGAAAAGATATTGTGCACACTCTAACCAGAGTTTGACTACATTGTGGTAGCCATTGAAGAATCAAAAGATATAGAAAAGATGTTAGTAGAGAAGTTGCAAAGCTCGTTACAAATGCATGAGTTGAAGCTTCTGTCACGCAATGCCAAGAAAGTCAGTGAAGAACAAGCTTTGAAGGCTTAAGTTATGAGGAAATAAGGTTTTTCTGGACTCAAATGGAAGAAGAACAAGACAGATGGGCGATTTAACAAAGATTGCAATTCTTTGAATCAAGAATAAGGTTCTGGTGAGCACACAAAACATACAAGATCAACCAAAGGCAATTTTGGCAGAGGTAGATGGGGAAAGAAGAATCAAGATCATAAAGATTCAATACTACAATTGTGAGAAGTGGGGACAATATGTTGTTAATTAGACATGACAAAGGAAACAAGAGAACACATATTGCAGTTCTTTGAATCAAGAATAAGGTTCTGGTGAGCACACAAAACATATAAGATTAACCAAAAGCAATTTTGGAAGGGATAGAGGAGGAAATAAGAATCAAGATTGTAGAAAGATTCAATGCTATAATTGTGAGAAGTGGGGAAAATATGTTGCTAATTGTTGGCATGACAAAGGTAAGCAGAGAAAAGAATATGTTGAAGTTGAAGCCAATATTACTTAAGATTATTCAAAAGAATAGCCTATAATGTTGATGGTTACAATTAGTGAAGATGAATTTGTAATTGGGAGCTGGTTTCTTGACACCAAATGCTCCAATCACATTACTAGCATAGAGATTGGATGTAAAATTTTGATACAAGCGAAACCAGTAAAGGCAGATTCCATATTATAATGTGATTAAGGTTGAAGGAATTGTAGATATTGTAATTAAGAAGGATGGGAAAGAAATTATAGTTATTGAAAGTATGTTGTATGTGCTTAGAATGAAGTGCAACCTGTTAAGTGTTGGACAACTAGTAGAGAAGGAATTTCCAATCACAATGAAAGAAGGTATGTTAAAGGTGTATGATTCAAGGAAAAAGTTTGTGTTGAAGTCACTATTGTCAAAGAATAGTACTTTTCAAACAAGATTGTATTATGCTAAAAATCAGTGTCTCACTGCAATATTCACAGATAAGATGAGTTGGTTATGGCATGGGAGGTTTGGCTATTTAAACTTCCATAGCTTGAGAAAGTTGGATGCTAATATTCTTGCACCATACAAGATGCGTGAGGAGTGCTTGTTGGGTAAAAAACCAAGGAATGCATTTAATTCACATATGCACATGATTGCTAAAGGTATGATACATGTTGTGTATTCAAATGCATGTAGACCATTTAAGCAACAATCGTTGGGGAAGAATGAATATTTTTTTTATGAGCATAGTCGTATGGTTTGAGTTTATTTGATTATAGATAAATGTGATATATTTTCCTATTTTCAAGACATTCAAATTGATGGTTGAAAGGCGGAGTGGGAAGGTGTTGAAAATTCTCAGGATAGATAGGGGAGGAGAATACTTGTCCAACGATTTTAAGAATTACTACATTGAAAGTGTGATACAACATGAGGTAACAACACAATATACTCTCCATAACATAATTGCCTCGTTGATAGAAGAAACTGGACAATTCTTGACATGGCTAGGATTATGTTGAAACAAAAGAAATTACCACATTCATTTTGGGGAGAAGCAATATCAACAATTGTATATGTGTTGAATAAATGCCCTACCAAGAAGCTGGAAAATAAAGTTCTAGAAAAGGTGTAAGACCCGGGAAAAACTTAATGTAATAAGAGAATGATATCTTGTTAAGTGTTTATTAATAAGGAAGAATATGTTTTTCATAAGTATTCTGTAGCTCATTTGGTGAGAGATCATTGTTGGGCTTGTGGTTATATGTTCATACCATGTAAGGTGTATAAAATGTTTTATTTGTTTTAATTATGCCAATATTGATGAGTGGTACATATATGTGTTTGTGGTGTACGATATAATCAAATGAATATTGATAGCCTGATAGTTGAAATGGTTGTACGACACTAAAGGTGAAGAAGCTTGTGTTGTGCTTTTGGAACCACGCACAGGCTGTAACTTTTATTAGTTTAAAAAGGTAAGGGAAGCTGACCTATATCTTTTGTTCTATACATTTTGATATGATGATCATGAGTGGTGTTGCGGTTATATGGTTTTATGCTAATTGTGTATTTTGTTGTCCTTGGTATGTTCTTTATAATAGCTCTTTGTTGTTTGACTTAACGTAAATTAGGTTGTGAGACATAATAATATGAGCATTTGATTTTCTTAGTGTGAGATATGTTTTGACATTTTGTCTGGTAATGTTTTAGATGAATGCATGAGCAGTAGATCAAGTATGTGAGATACATTTATAGTTTAGGATTTTGATCTCTCGGAGCAATGTGATGTTTGTGGTTACTAGTATAACTAAGTGATGATACTGCTTGCTGTTCTAGTATGAACAAATGGTTACATGATGTGTGGTAGCTTGTTTATGTTGGTTTTGATTGAAGGCCATGCTGATTTAATTGGTTTTTAATTGTAGGTCGTGTTGTATATATCAGATCATGTTGATTGATTGTTTTGGTTTTGAGTGGTACTCATTGTTTTTGGTGCAACCGCAATTTGGGGGGTAGGAATCTAAGTTTAATATTTGAAATTGATGTAGAAGGGAGCGTAGTGATTGATAATGCTTAGGTTAAAATTTGTAACCTTTGATATATATATATATATATATATATATATATATATATATATATATATATATATATATATATATATATATATATATATATATATATATTTAAATCCTCGGATGGTTATTATATTTGTATGAGAATCTGGAGTGGGTCCTCATATTTGCAACTGTATCAATTGGGTATAATGTTTGTAAAATTGAGCCAATTTTTTCCTATCTGTTAAGTTGTCACAGACGACGTTAATTGGTGCTGACGTGGTACACGTTGATGTAAAATTGTTTTATTATGTGGATTTTTTTTTAAATTAAGAGTTTTTGACGTGGCAAAATTTATTCGAACCAAGAAATTTGTTTTCAGATCTGGTCAGACTCCCTCCACCACCCACTCCACTCGGCTCACTTTCCCATCGACCTCGTCGCAAGTCGCTGACCGTCGATCACGGAGCTCTCATGGTCGATCTAGACGGTGTTGGTGCTGAGTGATGGAGATGGTGGTTCTGTGATTCCCCATCTTTCTCGCATGTTTGGTTGAAGTAAGCGACGAAGGCGGTGGTGGAAGAGGGGGAGGGAAGAATTTGAAGTGGGTTTAAGAGCTCCGTGGCTAAACCTGTGTAAAATGGTTCTTCATCTTGTCGTTGCTGACGGTGTAGAAATCAAAGAGGATGAGGTTGCTGGAAATTCCTGTGAGGATCAACATGTATAGCTTCTTGATAGGCATCTGATAATGGAAATTCAACATAAAATAACAATCAGAATAAGTACCAGTATCATCATGCAATCCATGTTCTTTGCGAGCACTGCGAGCTTTGGTATTTTTGTTAGCGTTTTCATGGGATCAGTATTTCTCCACTCTGATGTGCGAAATTGCTACGTTCTAGCATCGTAACAGTTGTTTCAGGAAAAATACTAACTATTCTTTAAAAAATATTTTCTTTCCCCAGGAAGCTGGTGATGGTAATTGATTTTTTAAAATAAATATGAATTAATTTCGTATTTTGCACCATATGTTGGATCATGGTTCTCGGATTTGAGAAAAGGAAAATGACACTTGAACAACCATTTTTGACAACATTTAGACACGCGCACACGTGTCTAAATTTGAGTGGTCCATTTTCATTTAATTTTTCCAACTGGACCACTCAAATTTAGACACGTGTGCACGTGTCTAAATGTTGTCAAAAATGGTTGTTCAAGTATCATTTTCCTTGAGAAAATATCTAGCAAAGAACAGGAAAATTGTGCTCCAAGATAGATCTTTTATAAGCCAATCCGACCAACGTGAGTTACGTGTCCCATGATTGGGGTTCAAAGTTCTCGGATCATTAGAAACTTTTCCCTTGATTCATCTGTTTCTTTAACCGAACAAAGTCATTACATCATCTGTTTCTCTAACCCATATA